TGAGGTGGTATCTCATTGAGGTTTTGATTTGGATTTCCCTGATGCCGAGTGATATTGAGCACTTTTTCATGTGTCTGTTGGCCACAGAAATTCTTAATTTTAAACAGATAAAATATGTTCATCTTTTCTTTTACGATCGGTGCTTTCCGTATGCTGCTTTAAAAATCCTTCCCCTGAGTCTAGTAGATATTCTACTCTATTGTCTCTATAATCCTTATTCTTTTATCTTCCACATTCATCTTTAGTCCATTTGGAATCAATCTTTGTACAGTGTGGAGAAAGTATGCTTGCTACCTAATTCACTAGACTTTGATACATGACTAAGAGGACAGTTATCACAACAAAAGTATATTCTGTATATTAATTAAAGAGCATCTGTGCTGCTGGTTTTCATCCCTTCCTGATTGTTTCCTCAGAGTAAGTGTTGTGCTATACATCGACATGAAAAGTAATAAACGTGGGCAATTATCTGATACTTTGCTCTGAAAACAGCCATGTTTCAGCCAAAGATAGCTGCAGATTGTGATTTTCTTTTAGGGCTGTAATTTTCATAAGACTTGGAAAACATCCTACCATTCCCAGGACAAACACAAGATCATGCTTTATGAGGGCGGGGACCTGGTCACCATTGGATCTCTGGTCCCAAACAGAGCACCTGCCACTCAGGATCTGCTTAGTTAATATTAGCTGATGAAAAACAAATTCTGTCTGTCCCACAGAAACTGTGGGTGTCTCCCAGAAATTCCAGGGTTCCTGCTTCTGAATTCCATCTCCCAGGCTACCGCTCCCACCCAGAAGCAGAACATAAATATTTACCTGTTTTCTCTTTCCTTCCTTCAGTTTAGGATAAACTAAACTTTTAGGAAATTTGCCCTTAAGGTCACCTCTAGGTGAAACTTTTCATGATACTTAACACCCCTTCCTCCCATAAGTAGCTGCCTCCTAAATTCTTTTGGAGTGCCCTTCACACTCTTGATTCACCTAGCCACCTTATGATACAGCATAAATTTTTCCCTGCAAAAGTCATCAAATTTCCACTAGTTTATGGATGCCTCTGAATAACAGGGAGCAAAGTGAATGGGTCTCTATATGTCAGAGATGGAGCATAATTTATGAGCCGGATTTCTCCGATGCCTATAAATTTCCAGTGCCACTGTGTTTCCAAAGTGATGTCTTCGTAGTATCCTGGAGCGCTGAGTCTGTGCCTTAGGGAACTGCTAATTGCTAAACCACCAGGGCCCACATGAACGTCAGCAAATCTGTGTCAACCTTAAAAGGAACAAGAACTTTAGGAGTAGAACCTGCAGGCCAGACAGCATTGATCACGGAAGCCCAGGCAATGAGCTGCAACGATCCCAAAGTGCTGGGGAGGAGGAGTTGGGTGTGGCGTGCCTACCACCCCCTTCCAGAAGAATCACACACTGATTCACATACCACATTTGTCTAATCTCGGGTGGATTGGGCCACAGCACCTTTTGGGGCAGGAGATCTCCCAGCACTAATGTCCTACCGAGCACACTGCGGGAAACATGGCTTTGGGCTGGGCAGAGCTCCTGATAAAGTATCAGCAGAATCATCAAAGAAAAACTCAAATTGCCAATCCAAAGTCAGACTAGTAGTTTCAGGGGCTCAGAAGCAACATAATGAAGTGGTTCCTCAGAGACTTGCAGCACGAATAACTACGATGACACTCTCCCCCTGCTGGTTGAGAATCTACAGGCCTTGGGTCTGTGTGCTCTGGATCACTTAGCTCAGGGGGGCATCGTTGCTTAACCGTAAGTAGCAATCTGTAGCTCATATTCCAGCTCCCTCCACTCACCAACTCTGTGTTCTTGGGCAAGTTACGTCATCTCTCTGTGCCCCAGTCTCCTTGCCTGTGAAATGCAGATGCTCATAGTATCTCGGCCTCCCAGGGTTGAGAGCTAACAGTTACAAAGCTTTCAGACGAGGCCCTGTCACATAGCAAGCCCCATACAGGTGTTTGCTGTTATTATTACTCTGTTACTTAATTTCAAGAGATAACCAAGGTACTGTAAATTATTTTAAAGGGAAAAAGTTGACCAGAAAACAGACGAAGAAGCATATGAGGCAGAAATTCAAGCTGAGATAAGTGAGTTGTTGGAAGAGCTCATGGAAGAGTATGAACGGAAGATGGAAGGGTACAGAGCCTCATACCAGCAATGGAAAGCCTGGAAGAAAGCCCAGGTTTGTCAAGTCCCTCGGCCTTGAGCAGGGCTGACCTTGGGGACAGGAGGAGGGAAACTGGACAGGCCAACTGGGGCCCCTGCTGGCTCCACTCTGTCTCCCATCGAAGGTAGGGCATTGACGCTTCTGGGCTTCCCTGGGAAAATGATATAACTTTGTACCCATAACCCTGCAACATTGAATCCAAGCACAATAAGTAACAGATCAGGTAACCTGCAATAGCTGTGCCCACAAGCCTTACTTTACTTTCAAGATGTGTCCTTGGCCTTTAGAGCCCATATTAATGTTCACCGGAATGGCTAACATTTTTAAGCTCTTTCTAGGTCCCAGGCATTACCTTAGGTCAACAACCCTGGGAACAGCTTCCTGTGATTGTCCCCATTTTGCAGATGAGAAAACAAGGCGCAGAGAGATCAAGCGGCTGCCCGAGCGCACACAGCTGCTTGAGGAGGAGCTGGGTCGGCATCCGGGTCCATCTGGCTCTGAAGACTATGGTTGTAAGCAAAATTGCACAATTTCTGTTTGACATAAGATTGCCTTTTACCCAACAGAGAGCCAAGAAGAAGAAAAAGAAGCAAGCTGTCGAAGAACATCCCGACGAGGAGATGGAGGAGCCGTATCCCGGGGAGGAGCCTGTGAAACCGGTCCCCCCCGAGCCCACCGATCGGGCGTTGGTAGAACAACAGGTGAGGGAGAGGGCAGCCTGGAGCAGGAGAAGGCCTGGGGAGCCCACGCTGGTGCCGGAGCTGAGCCTGGCGGGAAGCGTCACTCCCAACGAGCAGTGTCCCAGGTGAGCAGACGCCCCCTGCCTGGCACAGTGTGATCAGGAGAATCATGAACTCTGTAGATGGGTCTCAGATGGAACTACATGAACTTGTAGATGTTTGTCCGTATTTGGGTGATTTCAAATGGTTCCCCTACCTCGGGCATCCCCGGGGGCCACTCAGGAGCACGCTGAGGGAAGCTGCCTGTAGCAAGTGGTACCTGCATGGCTTTTGATTTAGAGCCTTTGTCTGTAACATCAGGGTATCTTCTCTCCACTGGTAGCACATTCTCTGCTCCCCAGCGCGGACGTGCAGGTCTGTCCTTGGCCCTTGTGTTCAGCTGCCCCAGGGGGGGCTAGCTTCTCTCTTTGAAGGCCCCCAGAGAGCCTCCCAGAGGAACTGTGGATACCCCCAGTAGCCATCTGAAGCATATTCTCCAGATCTGATAGAAATACTCTTCTAGGGGCTCCTGGGTGGCTCGGTTGGTTAAGTGTCTGACTCTTGATTTAGGCTCAGGTCATGATCTCAGTGTTATGAGATCGAGCCCCATGTTAGGCTCCGTGCTGGGCGTGGAGCCTACATAAGATTCTCTCTCTCCCTCTCCCTCTGCCCCTGCCACCCCACGTGTGCTCTCTCTCTCTCTTTTTTTCTCTCTCTCTCTCTCAAAAAAAGAAATACATTTCTAGTCATTCGTGTGATGCTTAAGAGAGAAACAGTCAGAAGCTTCACCTTATATACATACATCTATACATATAATAAATTCAGTCACCCTCAGAAATAATTAGGATGTGGGGATTCAACAGAATGTCCATATAAAACTTCCTACAACCTCTTCAGTTTCAAACTTATGTTAGTGTACCAATAATGTATTTTTTAACTCTGGCTTTTTTCTTGTGTTCTCCCAACCTCACAGCATTCAGATACTACACATAAATAAACTATTCCGCAGCACTGAATTAGCTATTTTCAAGACACAAATAGCATGCCATATAAAAAAAAAAAATCCAAAATATGTGATTACACTTTTTTTTTTGATTACGTGTTTTTTTAAAGGGAAAATTTGGGCTGGATTTGGCAGTCTTTTGTCATGAGTCTTGTTTTGACTGAGAATATATACCTCAGTCTTAAATTTCTTGGTTTTCACTGGGATTTGGGACTATAACCTAAGTTACCCCAAACCAGTGATCATGATCAACCCTTCTCATCAGACCATCATATAAGGGGGACCATGCAAAAGAAGGGGGCGTCTTAGGTCTGTTTGTAGCAGGATGCTACTGGGAAGAAACCATAAAACAACTCTGAGTCGAGTCTTTAGGTGTCTTGAATACTTCTTGAAATTTGGTGTTAAACTCCTTTACAGAAAAAAACAAGTTGAAGTCATTGGAGCGATTCTATATCTGGGATGCGCCTAAATTACCGAGATGTAAAGAGTTAAAACTACCACCCAATTTAATGGATACAAAATTTCTATTTGGGATTCTGAAAACATTCTGGAGAAGGATAGTGGAATAGATGCACAACATTGTGAATGTATTTAATGCCACTGAACTGTCCACTTAAAAATAGTTAAAATGGTATTATGATGTGTATGTCTCACTGAAATTTATTTTTTAAATTTTTTTAAAGATTATTTATTTATTTATTTATTTACTTGAGAGAGAGAGAGAGCACGAGCAGGGGGAGGGTCAGAGGGACAAGCAGATTATCCCCTGAGCTGGCAGCCCAACGTGGGGCTTGATCCCAGGACGCTGGGATCATGACCTGAGCTGAAGGCAGACACAACCCACTGGGCCACCCAGGCACCCCTGTCTCACTGCAATTTAAAAAAAAAAAAGACGTCACCACCCAAAAAACCCTGAGTGTGCTTTGGATTTTATTTCATTTTTCTAAACGTTCCCTGTTCTTACCGAACTTGAGTTGCTATTGACTTAGCCAACAACTGGCACTCTGGGTGAGTATTTCTGAAAATATACACAATAAAATTAAAGACTACTCTTGGGGATTTCACCTTTTTTTTAACTTCCTTGCTCTAAGAATGATACGCTTGCCAGGATATCTTTTTCTGGAATCCAAGTGGCCTTTTAAAAAAAAGAAACTGCTCTTAATCCCCTGCATCCGGTGAGTACTCACCATTGGAAAGTGTTTAAAAAAAAAAAAAAAACTCGAATCTTGGAGAAGTGGATTTGACTTGTTACAATACACTATTACATTTTTAGGATAAAACATCCCACCCAAATATCCATCACTACTGTCCCTTATGGATTGGATTCACTGTACTTACAGGACTATGTTTCCGTTTACTTAAAACTTTGGGGTGCAAACATAAGCCTTCTTTGAAAACATTTAAGGACACCGTAATATAGTGAATGATGCTTGGACTGCAGGTCTTTGGTCCCTGGTGGACTTTTGAGTGCCTCTTTCTTAGTCTGTATCACAGTTTATTATATGAAGCTCCTCGAGACCCGTGGCTGTTTTGGTGTGACAAGAGTTCCGATGATCGGCAGAGTCGTCCCCAGTGTATCTTGTTCTGTTCAGTGTCCATTTGTCAGACTCTGCAGTTTTCCCTAGTAAACTACTCACCCCATCTGTGATCGGTCTCACTTTGCAGGGCAGAGGTCTTGCGAAGGGAGGATGTCAAGAGGCGCTCCATATATCTAAAGGTGATCTTCAACGACAAGGAAGTGTCCAGGACCGACAGTCGACCACTTGGGGCAGACTTCCGAGTTCACTTTGGACAGATTTTCAATTTGCAGATATTCAACTGGCCAGAGAGTTTAACGTTACAGGTATGCATTTTAATTATAGTCATTGTCCCAAACATTTTTTTGGTGATCACAGGTATGAGTGGTTTTAAGATTTATTTATTTATTTTAGACAGAAAGAGAGAGAGAGAGAGTGCACAAGCAGGGGGAGGGGCAGAGGGAGGGGGGAGGGGAGGCAGACTCCCTACTGAGTGGGAAACCCACTGAGTGGGGAACATGGGGCTCGATCTCACAACCCTGAGATTATGACCTGAACCAAAACCAAGAGCCAGACGCTTAACCGACTGAGCCATCCAGGTGCTCCAGGTACAAGATGGTTTTAAGTCATCCATTGGCAACACTGGTGTTCTGATAGATTTTCAAGGTGAACAGAAGGTCAGCCTCCTCTTGGGCACGTCTGTCCTTATGGTCTTGGCAGAAGGAGATCTGTTTCCTCCTCACCTCCTGAAAATGCTGGCCACGGCGCTCCAGTGTGTGCCTCGAGATGGGGAAGGGGGTTGAGAGGCAGGGGGTCCCTGGTTTTTTTCTTTGGAGGAGTACTTCAATATCGCTGTCTGCCTGGATCCTAGCATGAAATACCTCAGAAATCAATTACGCCATCATCACAGGTGGCTATGATGGGGTGGCTACAGGTTATAGGATTCCCTCAAAATAAATATCACCTCTAATGTAAATCCCACCATTAGCAATATATTTATTTGTGCCTATTTAGCTTCCTAGGGCTGCCCCAATTAAGCTGCTCAAACTTAGTGGCTTAAAACTACAGATACTTATTCTTTCACAGCTCTGGAGAGCCTGAGGTCTGAAATCTAGGGGTCAGTAGGGCCATGCTCCCCCCAAAGCTCTAAAGGAGAATCCTTCCATGCCTCTGCCGATTCTGGTGGCCCTTGGCGTCCCTTGGCTTATAGCGTCACTCCAATCTGCTGCCATCTTCATATGGCCACCTCCCTGTCTCTATGTGTCCTTTTTTGTTTCTTACAAGGACATTCTCACTGGGCTTAGGCCAACCGCAATCCCGTGTGAGCTGATCTCAATGTTTAACTAATTACATCTATAAAGACCCTATTTCCAGATAAGGTCACATTCTGTGGTTCCAGGTAGACAGTAATTTTTAGAGGACACTATTTAATCCACTGCGGTGTCCAAGCTTGCTGTTCTAATGGTGAATCCTCTTCTATGGCGCTAACAGAATTCTCTTTTATGATAGCCTGTTAACTAAGGTTGCAAATATCTGGCACACATGCCTTTGCTTGCCATCCACTACCCACAGAGTCTGCATCCACCATGTGTGCACAAATGTCTCGTTCCCATCCACCACCCTTGCAAGAAATGACTACTTGAGGGGCGCCTGGGTGGCTCAGTTGGTTGCGCGACTGCCTTCGGCTCAGGTCATGATCCTGGAGTCCCGGGATCGAGTCCCGCATCGGGCTCCCTGCTCAGCGGGGGGTCTGCTTCTCCCTCTGACCCTCCCCCCTCTCATGTGCTCTCTCTCTAATAAATAAATAAAATCTTTAAAAAAAAAAAAAAGAAATGACTACTTGATCGTGTCTTTTTCCCCCACACTGAGGCTGGATAGGACTTCAGAATCCTTCTCAACACTGTACTTGAGGCAGCCACTACCTATTGGTTGTAACTGACATTAGCTGCAGGTACAATTACAGCTGTATCATTATTAAAATATTTAGGGGTGCATGGGTGGCTCAGTCGGTTGAGCATTTGCCTTTGGCTCAGGTCATGATCCCAGGATCCTGGATTCCATCCCCGCATCGGGCTCCCTGCTAGGCAGGGAGTCTGCTTGTCCCTCTCGCTCTGCCTCTCCACCTGCTTGTGCTCTGTCTTTCTCTCTCAAATAAATAAATAAAATCTTTAATAAAATAAAATAAAATACTTAAATACTTCTGTACTGCATTCCCTAAATGCCTCCCTGGCCACGTAGACCCCACTTCCAAGATCCCCTGGACCTTCCCACAATGAGCCAATTAAAGAGTGTGTGAACAAGGCTAATGCCTCCAGGACCTTGTTTTCATGTGTGGCTAACATCTCTTCTGATTGGTTAGCGCTTGGCCGTGAATATTCTTTGATATTTTGGACATCAACCATTACCTAGATCCCAGTAGTCGGAGGGGGAGACGAACCATGAGAGACTATGGACTCTGAGAAACAAACCGAGGGTTTTAGAGGGGAGGGGGGGTGGGAGGATGGGTTAGCCTGGTGGTGGGTATTAAAGAGGGCACTGCATGGAGCACTGGGTGCTATACACAAACAATGAATCATGGAACACTACATCAAAAACTAATGATGTAATGTATGGGGATTAACATAACATAATAAAAAAAAATACGTTGAAATAAAAAAGCCTATTAAAACTGGTAGAGGAGGGTGCCTGGGTGGCTCGGTCAGTTAAGCATCCGACTCTTGATTTGGCTCAGGTCATGATCTCAGGGTCATGAGATGGAGCTCCCCCACCCCCAGTGTCAGGCTCAGCACTCAGAGCAGTCTGCTTCAGATTCTCTCCCTCTCCCTCTGTCCCTCCCCTCCCCAACTTGTGCATGCACGCACTCTCTCTCTCTAAAATAAATATAAAAAAATAAAGAGGACTTAAAAAAAACGGTAGAGGAAGTTTGAGACAGCTAAGATAGGGAGCCCTCTTGAAATGGGAAGGAAGCATAGTAGCAGTGCTCGGGATGAGATTAGGGCTGCCAAGCGATGGGAGGGGGACCCTTTTAGGGTCAACCACCTCAGATGGGGATCGCCCCAGAGACTGCAGCAGTTTTATCCTGTACCGTTTCATCCGTGATCTGGGGGTGGCAAGGGCAGAGGGCGGTCCTCACTTACACGGCACCGCGCATCAAGACTCAAGCCAGATTCTCTGCCACTGATATCTACACAATTGAATAAGGTTTGGTTTTGTTTTTTCTTTTTTTTCAATTTTAGAGCTGACTTGTCCCAGTCACTGCTTTAATCTTTAAAACCCTGTCCAATTTTTAAGAAAGTGTCTATGTATTCTGGAACTCGAAAAAAAATAGAACTTATTTTGCTGCTACCCTGAAAGTTAACTTCGGGCGGGAGGAGAAAGCAAGGACATTTTGTTAACATAAAAAATGGTATTTGAAAGGGGATTGGATTTGGAGGTTTGGTGAAAAACTGAGCTTTCCTAAAGCCTGAAAATTCCCTTTCTGGGATCATCCGTGGGAAGATAATCTCTATAAGTTGCTACTTGCTTCCGCCTTGGTTTACAACGCTGTGTGGATACAGAGGGTGAAATTGGGGTGATGCTGCCTGCCGAGTCACCGGGAGTCACCTCCCACTCTGCGCTGGGAGGTGAGCTGGAGCTGCCCAGGCTCTCGGGTGTCAGGTTCATGCCCACCCTCCCAGCCCTCTCCTCCGGGGCCCCTGCTGACTGCCTGCACCACACCGAGGGTTCCTCCTCCTCTGTCCTGTTAGCAAAGCCACGTCTAGGGGCTCTGGGATCCTAGGGACTGGGTTGCACCTCACCACCACTCCCTGTGAGACACACCATTATTTGCATCACTTAACTACCATGCACCATGGATCAAAAGACACAATCCCATTTCAGATATGCTGAGATTTAAAAATCTAGTACTCTCTGTACCACTAAGACCTGATTAAGAGAGGCTTTTCTGTCCGGGGATTCCGTGAGTAAGGAGACGGGGGGCAGTGCCCTTCTGTTTGGATGGCCAAGGCCTTTGGATGGTTTAGAATCTGAATGCCTTTGGCGTAAATGTTGCACCCCGCTGGTTCCAAAGCCCCACATCTTCTCCACTTCCCGTATGAACCTCCTGCCGTGGCCCTGAACCCATGTGGCTTTAGCAACAGTTTAAAGAAAGATTTACTGCACACGAAAAACTGTCTAAATTAAGAATAACACTTGATGGAGGGGCGCCTGGGTGGCTCAGTCCGTTTAAGCGTCTGCCTTCCACTCAGGTCATGATCCTGGAGTCCCGGGATCGAGCCCCAAGTCAGGCTCCCTGTTCAGTGGGGAGCCTACTTTTCCCTCTCCTCCTCGCTCATGTGCTCTCTCTCACTATCTCTGTCTCTCTTTCCCAAATAAATAAGTAAAAATCTTTAAAAAAAAGAAGAAGAAGAAAACTTGATGGAGAAAGTACATGAACACAAACCCTAGAAGCCAACTTGATGCTGTACTGTCACCTGCCCTGAATATCGAGGGGTTGCTGGAGGCCCCCATGTGAGTCCCTGCATACTAGGTCCACAGAATAGGAAAGCGTCCAGTTATTCAGAGTTTGCCCCCTCATTTGAATTCTGTCCTTGACTCATCTCCCCCATTCCTCCCTGCAGAGGAAACGCTGACATGAGGAGACCGAGATTAAGGGGAAAAAGCATGTAGAGGGACAGAGTGAAGCGAGGGATAATAATGTGGGATAACATGGCCAGTAAGAAGGAGAGGGAGCCCTGGTAGGGGACACCCCACTGAGAAGAGCACAAAGGACAGGAGAGGAGCCCCCCCGCCAGCAGGTGTCCCTGTACTCAGACCCCCTGACAGCCTGTGACAGCCTCTCTGCTGGGCAATCGTACATCTTCTGAATTTCTGTAGAAGGAAAGACGTCCTCCCTCTTCCATCATCACCAATATTTTACTTCACATTTATCTGAAATAGAAGGGAAGCTCCTAACCTCTCTCCTGTTTGCTACCTTGGATATTAGCTTGGTTGGATGTTGCAATCAAAACAATTTTTTTAAGTAATATGAAAAAAGTAATTCTCTAAAATATGATGAAATAAATCTTTTAACTAAACAAGCCAAAATTTTATCCTGGAATACCAAGAATATATTCGTAGGCAATTAGCCTGGCCCTAAGAGCTGAATCATGTAATCTTTAGATATTACAAATTAAAAGAGCCTTGGCTAAATTCTTAAGCTGTCTATAGAGATGTGATAATGGATCAAATCACATATCATAATGGCTCAATGGCATAATTTTTATGATTGAGGAGTAGTTACAGATGAAATTAATTTAAGGGCTATTGTATTTCAACTCTCTAGGAA